TTTCTTTCTTTCTTTCTTTCTTTGTTTCTTCCTATCTTTCTTTGTTTCTTTGTTTTTTTGTTTCTTTCATTCCCTTTCTGATTCAACTGAAATGGATCTAGCTAGAACTCTAGCTATTGTAACGTTATTAACAATAACCTCATTTATATATTTCATATTAATTAATATTCATACTTTTGTTAACAGATAATAAACAAGAGCAAAAACAAAAAGGTATACAATAAAACCTCAATGTGTTTTATCATGCTTCTAGTATTTGTTTATCTCTTATTCTTTGACTAATTTGCATTTGATATTTTCAAGGAATATTCATTGCTTGTAGAAGAAAATGAGAGCTTCCAAAGACAATTCCAGGTATATTTAAGACTGGTTTCCATGACATGTAAAGTCAACAGTTTATTCGGCAGTAGACTATCATCAATCAAGAAATCATTAGAGATTATTTTCCATTTGATTGATGGTAGTCTACTGCTGTTTAACCTGTTGCGACATCCTCTAGGTAGGTTAGGAGGTAGGTAGGAGGTAGGTTAGGAGGGGGGGTATTATACAAGGGCAGCAGGGAGTACTGAATTTTTGCAATATCCTGTTTATAAGTTAGGAAGATGGAGGCACTATTAAATACCAGTATATTAAAACTTATTTTATGAGCGGCTAATGATATTATATTTATTCTTATAACTTGATCAAATAATATTGATTATTTTCCTGACTACTTTAGGCTCAAGAAGAAAATTTCAAACTACAAAACCAGACCCTTCTACTTGAGATAACTAGGGTAAGTAGTGGTTTTCTTTTGCTATTTATTTATTGCTTTATTCTTGTTTCATGTTTTCACCCATTCTTTCATCCATTGACTTCTTTCTTTATTTATTTTTGCTTCAGTTGACTGAAGAAAATGAAGTGGTCAAAAAAGACAACGAGAGACTGCAGAAATCTGGGGGACAAGAATCTAGTGGAAATGATTCTGAATTAAGACGATTGAGAGCTGAGAATGCGGCCTTGCAGAAAAGTCTAGCAAGTAAGAACCTGTTTGTTATATGACTGAGAAATATTTTGTGGTTAATTCTATATAAAAATGTAGGTCATGCATGGTGATGAAAAGGGTGTTGATACATGATAATGATGATGGTGATGATACATACATGATGATGAAGATGATGATACATGATGATGAAGATGATGATGATACATGATGATGAAATGAAGATGGTGATGATACGAGATAATGAAGATGGTGGCCATGCATGTAGATGATGGTGATGATACTGTACATGATGATGAAGATGGTGATGATACATGATGATGAAGATGGTGGTGATGCATGTTGATAATAAATCCCCATAGGTCAATCAAGCAAGCAAACAGCCAATCAATGAAATGATTAGTGATGACATTGATTTATCTTGAAAGCTGTCTCCTCTCCATTCTTCCACTCAACATTTAAAATTATCTTTAGGTGTACAAGAAAAATCTGAGCAAGAAATCACCGACCTTCAACAACAGCTTCAAAATTTGTCTACCACTGAAACAGACGGAAGGAAATCTGACACTACAGCATCTGAAAAGCTAGGCTCAAGTACTGAAGAAAATATGGTTCAAAGTGAGCAAAATGAGCTGGAGGAGTCAAAGACCTCAAATGACAATGACAGTACTGTAGCCTTACAGAATATACTTAATAATGAACTTAATGAATTAAGTATGAAAATAAGTAAAATTCTTCAAAGTAAGAGCTTGGGTGACAACGCACAAGATGATAATGAGGAGTCACAAGAGAATTCTGAAGAAAAGGAATCTGAAAAGGAAGATAGTGGGAATAATGAAGGGAATGCTACTGAATTACATCTGAACAAAGAATTACAGAGCACAAGGGAAAGGTTATTGGAAGCATTGGTTGCTTTACTTTCCTCAACAGAAAGTAAGTGTATTCTATATTTCACAACATTGGTGCGCAGACTGATGTATCGGGTTCCCTGTGTCTTCACCTGCCACAGAGAGCCCAAGGAACTGGGTATGCATTTTTCTACTCTTGACCCTAGGGCCCAGTTATTTTTACTGTGTATGCTCTACGAAATGCCAAAGAATCTAAGAAACCCTAGAAATTAAAGCATTGTACAAGTAAAAAATAAAATTTGAGCATGCACATCACATACCAGATACCTTATTTCTCGCCACTGTTTACAGAGTTCTGCAGTTGAGAGTCCGAGTAATGCCATACTGATTTGTTTGGGTTGCCTGTGTCAGCTACCACAGGAAGCCCAAGCAACTGGGTAACATCAGTTTTATATGTCTCACTTTAACTTTTGATTGATTTATTTTTCTAAGATTTTCAATTTACTCAAGGCCCTAAACCGTCAAAGGAACACATTCAACAGGTAAATAATGAAGAGTGGGTTTCACATTCTTGAAAATAATTGAACTAAAGGTTGAAATACTCCATTACATTTTTTTTTTTTTTTTTTTTCATTTCAGGCGGAAGCCAAAATTTCATCTTTGGAAAAGCAATTAAAAGAAATGTCAGGTATTGAAAAAATGGACGGACGGACGGACGGATGAAGTTCTAGATTTTATGAGCAAATAATTACTTTATATTTATTTTTATTGTAGGATTACAGTTGCGCTTGGACACTGAGCTAGAGGAGAAGCGTCTTCTTCAAGAACAGCTACAACAGAAAGAGGTAAAATGTCAATTCACTTTCAGTACATGACCATGTTTTACAGGAGGTCTGATAGAAACTGAAATATTTGTTGTCAAAAACTTGAGGCAAAAAATTATCAAGCTGAGTCATCAAGTCATTTATTTTTTTAATGACTTGCAAAGTAGCCCTTAGTTTTGCAGTTTCTTGGAGGCGAAAAATGCAGCTGGAAAGAATACCAGCACAGTCCTTGGCTGTTATACATTTCACTTTCATATTACAATATCAGTTGTCATAATTTTGTCACTCAAACCATTTTTCGCTTTCATTTTCACATATTCTGTACTTTTTTAGGCCAGCAGTCAAACAGAAACAGCAAGCTTGAAAGATGAAATTGCTAAGGTCAGACATTAACACTGGTTATAATATTGTTCAACAATATAGGGGTGCGATTAGAGCTTGAATACTTCACTTTTCAATTATGTCATATACAGAAGTTACAAATTTGATTCTTAATTTTGAAATTAGAAAATAAAAATTGTTTGTTTTCTAGTTGACAGATAAAATTAAAAAGAAACAAGAAAGGTAAGTACCGCAATACATATACCGCAATATTTCTCGAACTCAAACACTATGATTACATAACTCTACCGAGCGACATCGAACCATGAGGGAATATTTCTGAGCCTATCACGTGACTCAGTCCAGTCTTCCGAACATTATTAACTTTTCCTTTGATTGTCTTGTTACCCTGTAGCTATCTCCAACTTCAAGACGAAAAAGAACATTTTTATTCAGAAAACAAGTAAGACAAGCATTACTGATATTTTCATGATCAACATGGTCATATGCCTTATTTCTTCACAAAGCAAGCTGCACACTGAAATCTGGTTTCTCGGTGCAGTCAATCAAAACTAATCAGTCGGTAGCTTTCACATTTTTAACTGACGGCAGTGAAAAACCAAATTCCAATGGGGAAATCACAGCTACAGAGTTCGCATGTTTATGAAAGTAGCAATAAAACAGCTGCAATCATAATAAATGATACAGTACTTTTAAAGTGAATGCTGTGTGCTTTGATAAAGCATGCACCCCAACCAATCAGAAAGTAAGCTCATATATTTTATAGATTATATTATTGTTTGTATTTGTTTTTATCACTTAGGAAAGCCATGGATGACTTGAAAGCAAAGAAAGATAATGAAATAAGGGTAAAAAGATTTGTATAGTTTTGTGGGGTTTTCCACTTTGGTAGGAGGTTGTCCTGCACCCAAAGATCCTTGAATTTCATACCTCTGGTTCTTTCGAATGTCATTATATCTTTTGATCTCAGATTCTTGCTGAACAAATGACAAAGTTACAGGAAGAACTTGGGACGTCAAACCAGGTAAACACTTTTGAAAATAATTTTGTTCTAGTGTTTGAGAACCCTTTGGGAATCTAGGGTGGAATAGCAGTAGTGGTCTCGCCTCTTGTGAACCTCTGTGTATATAGTTTATAAGTTTATGAGCTTATTTGGTCTCTTCCTTGATTCTACATGTAGGCTTTTCTTTTGGTTCTTCCCAGTTTTCCCAGTTCGTAAAGTAGCTGTGCCCTGACTTTGATCTGCCCAGAGGTTGTTTCAGGGTTCAATCTGTGAGTTAGACGTGCTCTGACTTTGATTAGCCCAGAGGTTGTTTCAGGGTTTGATCTGTGAGTTAGCTGTGCCCTGACTTTGATCAGCCCAGAGGTTGTGTCAGGGTATCAATAAGATTTGAAGGTTTGAAGAGTGAGCTAAGTACCCAATCTTTTTTGTGTTGCAGAGATATTTTGAACTTCAGGAAGAAAGTAGTGAAATGATAAAAGAGCTACAGAACTCTATCGTTAACCAACAAAGCAAGGTAGGACAGCTATACTATGAATGTATATGTAGCATTTCAAGAATTTTGTTGTAAAATTTTGAAATTTAGTGTTTCCAAAGAAACTGCTGTGGTTATCTGTGCGAGTGCAAATGCTTGGCTATGATTGGCTGAATTTGTTTTAGATGAAACATTGTAGGAGCTGCACAATGTCAACCAATTAGAAGTAATTTTTCTCACGTTCGTTTACACCTTCAAATAACCCCTGGCAATGGGCCTGAACAGAGTAGCATAGTATTTAAATGTACTTTTTAAGGATGCTTTCTATTTGACCTGTTACATTAGTTTTTATATTTCTTTTTGGATTCTTATGAAGGCATCATCAAGTGCTGAAGAAACAGAACAATTAGTCATCCAGTTAAGGTACTCACCATATCCCATGATTCCTTGACTACCCATCCAATCCTTGTTTCCATTATCTTGTCTGTATTAATATTGTTATTTTTTTCCCCAATACCCTATGCTTCGTGTTGCTTTCAGACTTCTAACATCAAGAAACTCTAACCTTTTACATTGATCTATATTGTTCCTTATGTTAACTCTCTTTTAGATCAGAAAAAGACACCATAGCGAAAGAGCTTGAAACTCTTAATAAGGTAACTCACCACCTATTTGAGACCATATGTCATTCTCTTGAGAATAAGATTCTTTGTTGGAGTTTTATCCATGTTCATTCAGAGTATTAGCATTTTTCAATGTATTGGGATTTCTGCCTTGAAACTCTGTTTTACTGTAATTACTGAAAGAGTGCTTGTTCTTTCTTTTAGAAACTTGTAATGAATGCACAAGAAGCTGAGGAAGCAGCAGTAAGCAGATTTTACATTTTAATTAACACTTGCGTGCACTGCCTTGCCTCAGATTGGCAGAACAGGTTCTGTTAATCCCTGATAGTGTGTGAAGTAAATAAGTGTTTCAACAAATGCCATTTTTTAACATCAGGACCTTATCTCACGACTTGAAGAAAAAATTCAATCAAGTGAAACAAAATACTTGGAGCTGAACTCAGTTGTTGTTGGTTTAAGAGAACAAGACAAGGTAACACAACAAATCCATATTAACCCTCTCACTGATATCCATGAGAGATCATAGTCAGCAGTAGCACCACTTGGACCACTTGCTACTACCCATGGAATATATTATAGTTGTAGCAAGATGATGAAGGTGTTCCACAGTGATCCGTTTTTGGACCACTTGCTGCTACCCATGATAGATTATAGTTGTAGCAAGTTGCTAAAGGTGTACCACAGTGATCAGTTCTTGGACTACTTTCTACTACCCATGAAATATATTATAGTTGTAGCATGTTGCTTAAGGTGTTCCATGGTGATCATTTCTTGGACCACTCCCAATTATTACTCATGAAAAGCTCTTGGTTTCAGGAGCAACGAGGTGCCATCGACAGTTTGAACACACAAATCCAACAGTTAACAGAAGAAAGAGATAAGCTTGCTACCTCTTATGAAGAAACCTCAAAGGTACACCTTCATTTCTTGGTTTCAGAGATCCTTTGGGTAGTGTAGTGGTAATGAACTTGACTCTCACCTAAGGGTCTCAGGTTTGATTCCTGGACTCCCCACCCCCCCCCCCCCCCCCCCCCCCCCCCCACCCCATGACTAATACCTCACTACACTCCTGGTATCAACATCACTGATCCAGGCAGCAGTTTGACACATTCTACCTTTTTTTAAGAGATTGGTGAATAACGTGATAATTTCTGCTTTTACAAGCAATTGGTCTGTTGCTCAGAATTTTTCGTTTTTGTTTTGTTTTGAAATTTCTTAGCTTGCTGAGAAACGTAAGAGTGCATTGGACCAGATGGCAATTGAACGACAAGAAGTTGATCAGACACACAGAGAACAGATAGAGAAGTTACAAGAAGAGCATAAGGTCTGTTGTTTCTCACTTTATCCTTAACTATGACCCTCTTCCTCGATCCTGTTAACTACCCCTCTCTCTCTTACCTTACGGTACATTCCTGTCTCAGTTTATCTTTTCCACTGAATGTCTCTGTACTCTTTTTCCCCGTCTCTCAACCCAAACTTAATTCCCTCCATGTCCTTGTTAGGGAAGCATGAAGCATGGGTGGCGTAGTGGTGAGAGCGCTCGCCTGCTGTGCTTTGTGTTGTGAGTGGAATGAGTCGAATTGTTTGTTGTTTCTCTCCTGTGCTTCAAGGATTTTTCTCTGGTTTCTCCATTTTTTCTCCCTCCACAAAAAACGACTTCTAAATTCCAATTCAATCATGGAACAAGGCCAACAGGATCGTTAGCCACTGGCTATTAAGTGCTACCCTCATAAAAACAATGACAGTGGTACTGTCTCCATCCATGTTACACTTTGCTTTCTTCAATACCCCATTTCTCTTACCTTCTTCATAATCCTAATAAGTTCTTCTTACATTTATTATTTCTTTAGAAAGCTGTGACTGAATTGACCAACCAACTGACAGGTGAAAAGGTACAACTACAGCTTTAGGTTGCGGTCTTATAAAAAATCTACCACGTTAATTGCAAGTTCTATTGATGATAAAACATGGAAAAATGGCGTATGCCATGTTTAATGAATATGAAATTTTCTCTTAGAAATTGCGTAAAGAAGCAGACGATCTACAGCAGAAACTAAACGACAGCAAGTCCAAGCTGCAGTCTTCAGAAGAGAAGTGTGGCTGGTTTGAACGAACGCTGGCCAAAACTGAGGCAAGTAGTGAGTGATTTCACACCTCATTTTAAAAACATGAACAGCAAGAACAGAAATGTTTACAGTTCTAATAACTTGCTTCCATAGCACGTAACCTTGTAAGGGGGGATGGGGATGGCTGGTAGATTTGCAGTAAACGTTTTAAAAAATATTGTATATCTCCCCCCTTTCACTATCAGTAAGAAATTCATGAGACGGACCTCCTATTAAGTCAACAAGGAAACAGCTTTTATCGAAATAAAAAGGTTAGACCCTTCACAAAAGTTCCGATTTTTACTTATGGCCCTCCCCTTGGAGCCCCCACCCCCTCCCCCATAAAGAGGAGGCTGAGGGGTCGAAGCATTTTACGTTTCAAATGCTTAGTATATATTGATGGACTTGAGATCTTTTACCAGTTACATTTTCACCTCCTGTGCGCATCCTCAAGCTGCAGTTCATATTAAAACCTTTACTTGTTTAATATGAAATAGTGCTTACCATGATCCTAAACGGTCTCAGCGTTGTTGAAATAAGGAAACATTGTCTTGTCGTGTCATTAGGAGGCTGCTAATGCTGAAAAAGAGCAAAACAAGAAAAATACAGAAGATTTGATCGAAAAACACAAGCAAGATATGTCCAGTTTGAATGAGGAAAGAGAGAAGCAAATAGCAGTAAGTATTTTATTGATTCTTGAATTTTTCGGTCAGTCTTGACAGTCGTGACAGAAAGTTTATTCCTATGAGAAAAAAAGAAGAATAGAAGTGCTTAAACCTATAGACCCCTTGTCGGAATGCAGCTCAATTTGGAGGACATAACAATGGATTTCCAATTCTCAGGAAATTGAAATTCTTTTGTTTTGTCCTCCAAATTGAGCTGCTTTGACGTCACAAGCAAGGGTTCTATAGTTCCAAATCAAAGCGGACTTACTGTTGGATTACAATCAGCTGATAAAAGTCTTTGGATCTCATTATCTGCTCCTAATATTGGTCAAACACTAAGCACCAAGCCCTGTCAACTAGAATTCTAATGAAAATTTGTGATTAAGCAGATGAAAATTCTGCACGAGACAGAAATAGCGTCTATTAATACCCAGACTTATCTAAATGTTTTCCGTCAAAAGGAACTGACTTCTCAGATAGAAGAGTTGAATGCCAAGATCGAATCACAAGAGGAAGAACATAGTAAGGAAATGGAAGACCGGTCAGAAGAGATTACTAAACTAACACAGGAATTGAAGGATAAACAAGTAGAGAATAAGATAGCTGGCAAGAAAGGAGATCAACTGGTATGTCAATAGACTCCTTTAGCTTGGGCGCCATGTTTTTAACCTGCGTGTCATTCTCTTGAGTATCATTACTTGTTGTCATAACGGTCGCGCATGAGAAGACACGTGAATGTGGATGCCACTCAATGTTTTCCTATTTCAACCTGCGTGTCATTTTCTTGAGTATTATTACTTTACTGAACGGTTTCGCATGAGAAGACACATGAATATGGGTACAACTCAATATTTTCAACATGTGTCATTCTATTGAGTGTTATTACTTTCTTTGACTCCATTCGCATTTCAAGACGTGTCAATTTCACAATACCACTCAAGCAAAGAATCTTATTCTGAAGAGAATGAGGAAGCACAGCTAGCAAGCAACAACGCCCCAATCCTTTTTACAAGGGGTTTGTTGTGGTTAAGTCTATGAAGAAGCTATACCCTCATACGTGCATACCATATATAATGAAGAAAGACTTGTCTTCGTCTTTGCATTTCTAGGTAAAGGACCTAAAAAGGCAATATAGACTAGAAAGAAAACGTGCTGATCAGCTACAGCAGAAACTACAAGAAGCTTTATCAGAAAATAGAGCAAAGCAAAGTAAGGATTTCTTGCGTACTGGTTTCTGACGAAAATCATTGATGACACTTGTTTGAGATCTTACGCGCGGTTAGGGACGGACCATTAGATTATGGGGGGGGGGGGGGGGGGTTGCGTAAATCACTTCACCTACGAAAACAAATCGCGCTCTTAGAAAAGAAATATCGAGCAAACACAAAAAACGTTGCGTGTAAGGGTTATAAAAATAAAATTCATGCAACCTCCATCTCAAAGATCTAATGGTTCATCGCTTATCGAGCAAACGTCCAACAGGGAAATCGGGCACCAGGCTCCTGTTGTCTGTTGTCCCATTTTTCTGTGGTAATGTTCCAGTAATACATCGACATTTTCAGTTTTAGCCAGCAGTGCAGGCGTTCTTAAGGTCGTTTACACAGGCGATTTTTTCGTCGATTTGCAGCGCGATTTCCACATCGATTCTTGTGGCGATTCACGTGTGATCATAAATTGCTCGTGTAAACTACCGCCGATTTCGATAAATTCACATCGCCGATGAATCACCACTATTTTGAACATGTTCGAATTTAGTGCGATTTTTCGGCGATTTTTTCTGCAAGAATCGCAGTGGAAATCGCCGAATAAATCGCCTGTGTAAACGGGCCTTTAGTTGGTTCTGGTTCCTCCTGAACAGAACCAAAAACGCTGCAATAAAAGCTAATTCAATTCGGGCGTAATGTTTTCTCCCTCAGACCGCATGTCATTCCCTTGAATATGGTTTCTTTGGTAAGGTGGCTTGTCATAGTGCTAAACAGGCCTCCCATTCTGAATGGGTCTTTCTTTCTTTCTGTTAAGATTTTGACGAACTTTTTCACGCTCCAGGATCATATCAACGAAGAAACAGCGGGTAAGAACACCGTGGGTTTAGACTTGATTAGACATGCGCTCTAAGGCTATACTCGCAAGCTCACTGGGGAACGATCTCGTACTCAGAGTCCTTATTTCTTTTTGCGCATGCTCGAAGATCAGTTTTGGGGAATAGAATTTTTTTAATTTACTAGAGGTATGCTGTATGTGCTGTGCTGTGCTGTGCTGTGCTGTGCTGTGCTGTGCTGTGCTGTGCTGTGNGTGCTGTGCTGTGCTGTGCTGTGCTGTGCTGTGCTGTGCTTTTTCTTGGTAACACAATCTTTCTTTCTTCTTTTACGTCTAGCGATTCTTCGATCCTGAGTCCCAACAGGAGTGACATCGACAGTCCAGATATTCGAGTAAGAAACAGTCCTTATTTTTGTTAGTTTTGCTTTTCCTGTTTCTTACATATTTCTGCTATCCCTCTTCAGCCACCAAGTCCTACATCATCCATGACGGGCTTGTTAAGCGAGGACACCACTGATCTGATTGAAAGACTTGCTGATGTGCAACAAGAAAAATGGCTTCTGGAAGAAAAGGTGATCATGTTACGGCCAGTCTTCTACACAGCCGCATTAGGATCGTCACGCAACGCGCTCTCTGTAGTTAAAGGAGAGAGAACTTGCGTGACCAAGGTCCTATCGTACGTTCCCTTTTAAACTTGACTGGAAAATTGTACTTGGTATACTAATGTTGTTCTCGTATGCTCTTAAGGTTCGTCACCTGGAAGAGACGGGTGGTGTTCTTGCTGATGATTTGATGCAAAAATCGCACGTCATTCAAGCATATGCCATGCAAACTAAACTAGGTGAGTCGTCTTTTACCTTTACGATATATGTAGGCAAATCCGTAATGGTTGTGGATTCTGGATTCCAGTTGCTGGATTTCCAGATTCTATATTTTCGATTCTAGATTCCACTTTGTATATTTCGGATTTTTGGTTTTGCGGATTTAAAAATTAGATTTAAATTTAAAGATTTAAAGCCCAGAGGTTGTTTGAGGATGCTATAAAATTTGAAGTTTTTGAATATAATTACTTACAAATGTTGACTTATTTTTTACTTCGTTACATTACGAGAAGCGCAAATCATGATAATGTTGTATGCTTTTCTTGTATAGGTCCTATAAATGAATCGCCCAAGTCGCCCACGATTTCGAGTATCAAAGAAAAGATGAAATCTAGTTTAAGCATTGGAAGGAACAAAACTGACACCAGGAAGATCCAAGCGATGTTAGAAGAGACGCTGATGAAGAATGTCCAACTGCAAGAAGTATGCCAAACAACGGCTATTTTTCTTTTTCCATACATACATAATCTTTATTGAAGCTTCTTTAAAAGGGCTCTTCAGCAACAGTAGACCGTTTTCTCAAGGTTGCGCGCTCATCCAAATTGAAAAAAATTGACAGGCAACAATACCAGAATAGGAGCTTTCTATTGAGAATTATCATACATTTCTATGAGAGTTTTCGAGGCGTAGCCAAGTTTTTCTCATAATTCTCGAGTGCTTTAGAGCTCTCAGAGTGTTTATATCACAGTACAGAGACATCTGTTTTATATTGCTTTTATAAAATATTTTTGAACAACTTTGCGCGAGCGTGTCTCTGTCCTCTGATATAAACACTGTAGCCCACCAATGAGCGTGCGTGTTATATGTCAAATATTTTATAATTCTGTTTTATAAGTGTGGCGTGATTGAAATTTGACATTGTGTTTTTGTTTACAGGATATTGACAGTTTGTCTAAACAACTGGAGAAATACGTCAAAAAAGAAGAAATAGCGATTCTACAAAACCGTCAACCTAACAGAAGTAGTACACCAAGAAACCATAATGAACAAGAGAACACCGAGTCAGCAATTCAGAATCACTCCACAATGAATGATGACGCTAATGGTATAGAACAAACCACAACTAAAGAGAATGAATCGGGCGAATAAAGTCTGCTAAGGTTTGAATTGGGCCAAGGTGTGAATAGGCAAAGTAAAAGATAATCGAAGAGGTTCTGAGGCCAAGACATCAGTGGAGGCAAGACCATGAGAGAATTGCAGGCCTGATTCGTGGCTTGCTCATGACATCATGATCGTTTGACATGCGTGTGATATCTGCGCATAATGTGACGGCTTTCATTGTGCATAACGTCATATCAGTTTGATGCGCATGTAACGGCTTTGCTTGTGAAAGATGTTCAGTGTGCATGTGGCGACTTGGCTGGTGCATAACGTCAAATTGTTTATTATGCATATGACATCTTTCATATTGCATGACGTCAATTCCATTTGATGTGTATGAGATATGTCAAATAAAAGACGATTAGTGTGCATTTGGCAGTTTTGCTGGCACATGGCATCATATTATATATTATGCATATGACGTCTTTCATTTTGCATGACATCATATTCAATTGATGCGCAGGTGACATGACGTCTTTTCGGAAGGATTGCTAATAATCAAGCAATATTGCACCAATAATTTGACCACATCCACGACGACCAATAACAATATAAAATTAAGATAAACTATTACTTAGTTAGGTGGACCTAACTCAATTGATAAGGGAATGAAATACATTTTAAAGATAAAATAAAGGCCATATGTTTTTATATTCATTTATAAAACCTTCTTTAAGGAGAAAGCTAGCAAAATATTAATAACGAATATGCACGATTATCGTGCGAAACAGAAGAAAAACTTAAACTTTGCCAAAAGATACCATGAAGATTCTTTACATGGTAACTTAGTTTTTTTAAAGCGCTTTTGTTTTTTCTGGGCATGCTTAACAGTAGTCACAGCGTGTGAATAAACATGAATATGTTTCTTTGGGCCAAAAGTTTATATACGAAAAGAATGATTAGAAGTTTTTTGAGTAAGATATTTCGGATGATATCCATCGTTCATCATCAGTTTAATGACTCACTACAAGTGTATTACAGTGAAATACTATAAAGCCTTAGGGACTAATACATATTACAACGAATGGATGCTTTGAATAACATGGGGAAAAAGTACTGTGCATATGTGGGATGCTATTATAATCAATAAATCTTGTCCCTAGAACTGGTGTTCCTCGCCATCAGAACCGAAGTAGATGCTGACCATGAGAAACATAATCTTAGGTACGAGAGAGGATGTAATACATGAAAACTCTTAGAGATGCATAACTGCACAGACTAAGTGGGTCGATTTGTTTCARTGTTATTCAAACACCACTGAAAATATAGCCAATCAAAATGCCAGAAAGCTGTTGCGTATTAGGCAATATTCCACTGTTTTTTCCCATAAGGCATTGCGGTCAAGGTATATTTTGAATGGTTAAGGACAAAATAGTTAATTAACCAATGATTTCTCATGACACACCATGAAATATCCCACTTGTCACTTCAATGTGTTTCCTTTGTCAATACACTCGTCTGAAGGCCTTGGATATTCCATGGTATGCCATTCACAACCATAAAATAACTAGTATATACTATATATTTTTAATTTAAATTAATTATATGATCAATGTAGTTATGGCAAATTCCCACAAAATTGGCTGCCATGTGGGATGACATATTGCCTCTAATGTTCTAAATTTTATACATAAAGGTCAAAACACTAGTGTCAAGGGTTTGCATTGAAATTCAAGACCGAGGGCAGCAGGGGAGCATGTTCGTTTTAACTGGTTTAAAACCAACCAAGCCCCATTTCTAATGTTTGGTGTCAGATTTTAATTTTCAATGAGAAACCTGTCCCTGGCTTTGAATTCAGCCCTGCTCTCCCCTGTTAGTATCAATGCTGAATTCAAAACCCTGGGACAGGTTTTCTATCAAAATTCAAAACTGACGTCAAAACAATAGAAATAGGGCGTGGTTGGTTTTTCAACTCAATTAAGTGGGTTAGCCCAGAGAATTTGGGGCTATTTCATTCAATTAACCACTTTCAATACATCTGTTCAGTGGTCGGTCAACCACAAAGCATTTAAACAAGGCTGCAATGTAGTTTTAAAAAGTTTGCACCCTTGGTTGAAAGCTTTGTGTGTGACCAGTTAACCAATGTTTGAAAAGAGGCATTCAACTTTTCACAAGTAAGATTGTTAAAATATAAACATATTTACAGTTCCACAGAATATGAACGAGTTTTTGGATCGAGCACAAACATGAATGAAAGATTTAAGCTTGACTCAATCACAGAGAAAAGGAAAGATGAAAAGAAAGAATTTCCCCACCCCCTCCCCTCACTTTTTGTTTTGTTTTTTTTAGTATTCCTTAACGAGACGCGGAAATTTGTTTTGAAGACTTTGTGTTGACTTTATCTATTGATTTCTAACGTTTGGTGCGACCCTCCACGTGTCTGTAATAATTGATGTGTGTTTTAACGCGTCTTGTTTGTGTTTATACCCCGGGGGATGATAGCTAGTCAGTCCTTTGCCCCAAAGAACGACAGACAGAATGGCCGTTCGATTTGTCTACCTCATCGCAGCGTCTTTACTAACACTCTGCGTGGTCATCATCACACGAACTATACAATTTTCATTCCCTAAGACTGTACACAAGCCATGTCAAGCTTCCGATGATGATTTTATTCATGCAGACGATAACGTTTTAGGAAGATTTAGCCAAGCAATTAGGTTTCGAACCATAGCGAGGGGTGACGGTGACTACGATAGACAAGAACTTTTAAAGCTCCAAAACTTTCTTCTTAAAGGTAAAACTACCTGTAAATTAGAATGAACTTTTTGACTTATCTTAATCTATATCTTTTCATGAATTTTGAAGTGGAATATAATGAAATTGTCAGTTAATTTTGGTTGAGCGTTTGTAGTGTCATTATTTGTCAAATCAGACGCCATTATATTGCATGACATGAACTTTGTACGATAAGATTCAAGATTATCAAAGACCTCACACGCTCGATTAACGACGTACAACAAAAACCTAATTCTGTCGTTTAATGCAAGTTAAATAGGACTTTATTCTTAAGTTTGTACATACATGTTGTGAATCGTGTTGTTCGTATTCAATTTCAAAAAAATATTCTGAAGTTTATTGGGCTTTCTGTGTAAATATATACGAAAAATTATAAATTATCTAATCTTAGTAAAAACAAATTCTTGCTCATTCTAAAGAAGATATTTATTGCAGAAATATTCAAAACTAGAGCTTATATTTTTTTAAATAGTTTTTGCTATTCAATTATGCAAATGTTGTGTTTTTCATGCTATTTCATTAAGTCAAGGCCTAATTATAATTTATGCAGTTTAAATTTTAACTGCATTCTATTGATGGAAGCATAGGATAGGCTAGTCTCCCCTCAGCTGTTGGGAAGTGATCATTGCGTGATGACAATAAGAACCCCTGCGGGGGAGACTAAGGATACACAATCTAGAGCAAATATTTGACTTGATCTTGAGTTTCCAAGGTTGCATCTTGGGTGCAGCAAGTGCTGGCTATGATTTATGGAGATCAGCTCAGCTATCTATGGTCATATAGGAGCGTTAACATGTTCTTATGTAGTTCCAGAATAAATAAATAAATAAATCACTTTTGTTTAAGTGTCTAGTCGTTTTAGCGCTTTCGCACTAATTGGGGACACTTTCCACTCACACGCACTACCACTACATTTAATATTCTATGCACACAACGCTCAACTCACATGTTGATTTTTATGGAGGGAGGAAACCGGAGAACCCGGAGAAAACCCTCGTAGCATAGGAGAGAACAACACATCAAACAAACTCAATTCACATGTGGCGACCGCAGGGCTTGAACCAGCGACCCGGCCCGTTGGACTCACAGCGGTGAAAGACGACGCGCTAGCCGCGAACGCCACCCATGCTACCCACATATCCATATCCCATATCCACCCCACCTGAAGAATTTTTGAAGACCCCAACCCCCTACCCCCAGAAACTGTAATTAATTTGTTCTTTCTCTGACTCCCCATACCCCTGGGAAATTACAAATTCCTTTGGGGTCGGGGTATAGATAATTTCTGGAACCACACATTCCTGTCTGTAAATAATGCTGCTCATTTCATTTCATTTGTTTCCAGAATTTTCATTCACATTTAGCCATCCTCTGGTCAGTTATGACATCATCGCCAACTACAGCATATTACTCCATGTCAAGGGTAGTGATGCAGCACTGAGACCATATCTCATAGCAAGTCACCTTGATGTGGTCCCAGCTAGCAATGAATCATGGGAAGTGCCGCCATTTGAGGGTCGAATAAAGGATGGGTACATTTGGGGGAGAGGTACCCTTGATGTTAAAAATGGAGTGATGGTAAGTGTGCAGAACTAGCTATAGACCATTTATATACATGCAATATAGAATGGTAGTGCAAATGGAGCCAACCACAAAAAAGGAACGTCTTTCCAATACATTTCTCAAGTCATTATGCATGGTCTTTATTATTTATTTATTTATTTATGGAATTACTTATTTGTTCATGGAATTTGAAAAGGCATACATACATTAGAAGTTTGGCAAAATTGCAGTCCTTCAGCACAGTTAAATTCAAGGATTTCAGTTGCTTGTAACTAATATGCAGAATTGAGGCTATCACTATATAGTAATAGTTAAAACATCATGAGATCTATTTACAGGTAATAGGCCCTTTGCAGCTAAGCAATCACGTGCTGATTAATTCACTAACAGCAAATGAATGAACATCTTGATTCCCATATGGGTGAAATTTACTGGAGAGCAAACAAACTTTCTACAACCTGTTTCGAGAGATCGTAATAAAACTGCATTTCGTAACACACTGGATACACATGTTTTCATTCAGTTCTTTACAAGTAGCTAAAAAGAATCACCAATTTAATATAAGAACAAAAATTTTGCAGTCCAGTACAGACACGTGACCGTTAACTGCAAAGGGCCTATTGTCTTATTAATATCCTAACCCTGAGCATTTACTAATTCCCATTTGGTTTCTCTTTCGGAGACAAAATATTTCTCTAATTAATTGATTTATGCAAAATAGGACGCTGTTTTATTACATTAGGTATAGCACTAATAATGCTGTTTTTTTATAGTTTTTTTTTTTTTTTTTGAATTGCTGACACTAGATTCTTTTTATTGGTAGGCATCTTTGGAAGCTCTTCAGTTTTTATTAAAAAGAGGTCACAAACCCAAGAGAAGCTTCTACCTTGCTTATGGACATGACGAGGAGGTTGGTAAGATAGCTAGTGTAGTATTCTTATGTAAGGCCGCAAGGCTTTATGGGTAAGAACACGTGCGAGAGCGAGAGAGTATGCATGGAGTTGAAGATTGTAATCTTCTTCAGTGTGTGCTGATAGTGTTGGGAAGGTTGTCATTAAAAAGATCAAATGAACAATATAAAACATTTGTACAGCTAGTAAACATTAAGTGAGGTGGAGTTTCATATATATATATGATTATGCAGTTATAATAGTGTCCTTTTTTCCAGGTAGGGGGTAACGATGGAGCAAAACAGATAGCCGCAACACTACGTTCAAAAAAAGTACAGTTAGAGTTTCTAGTAGATGAAGGTACCATCATTGTAAGAGACACATTTCCTGGCGTTAAATCTCCTTATGCTCTGTAAGTACTTTTTGTTGTTGAATTTATCATTTTATTTGATTAATTTGGGGATGTTATTTATAATGTGCAAATAAATAGCATCAAGCATTCAGCATAACTGCACATTAATATGCTTATAGAGTTGGAGTTGCCGAAAAAGGATATATGATAGTAGAGTTGAGTGTGACGACATTGGGTGGTCATTCTTCTATGCCACCAAGAGAAACAAGTATTGGCATCCTTGCTCAAGCAATAGCAAGGTATGAATTATATATAATGACATAAGTGTGTGTTCGTTATATATGTTACTCCTCATTTTCTGTGTGTTGGGCACAAGTTGCATTCATTGTTCTGCATGAAACAATTTGCAATTAGCTATATTATATACTTATAAGACTCTGTTACATGTTGAAACTTTCAACTGAAATTTGTGTGCAACCGCATTGCGAGAAACATTTTGAGAGGAAAGGGGTGTCATACAGCAGGCACAGTTTTGTCCTGAAACTCATATGCACATATATATATTAAATTTTAGTTGCACGAATAGAAAGCAGTTCTACTTTTCTTGAAACTTTTGTTTCACAAAGCTGGGGGTATAATTACATGGTGCAATTCATTCTAAAACTTGTCTCGCAACATCATTGTAGCCTGCATTCAACCGGTATAGTTTCCTCAAAATAACCGAGGAAATTATACCAGCTGAACGCAGGCTACACCATTGCAGCAATTAGTTTTAGCTAAAAGTTTCAACATGTAACATACAGTCCCTTTAATTACTTGTTTACGTATTCAGATATTTCAAGTGATCTTATTTGGTATTGTTTTTGTGTTAGACTAGAGTCATGCCCCATGCCTGCTATCTTAGACTCTGGTGGACCAATCCAAGGGTTGTTTGAAGAGGTTGCACCAAAGGTAACTGCAGAAGTATTTATTACATTATGTAATATATTTATGATGTGCGGGCAGGTGGTCGGGCGGGCAGGCCAGTGGGTGGATAGGCAGGCAGGCAGGCAGGGGGCAGTGGAGAGAAGGGAGGTGTACATACAATATCTATACTGTGGTGCTTATGGCAGTTTTTTTCTCCTAAGGCTGCCCTTCCTCTTCGCCTCATAATTGCAAATCTATGGCTTTTCAAGTTTTTCTTTACAAGGTAAGCCGAGGTGTCTCATTTTGTTGCATCATAATTATTAATTTATAAATACCCCACTATCTGAACAGTAGTGCAAACATAACAAATGGGGCAGCCAGTGCTTGACCACACTTAGCCATAACCATTGACGACTTGATTACTAAAGGTTGTCTTCTGGCTAGTAACTTCTCAGCTCTACTAGCTTAGGGCTAGTGACGAAAAAAGTTACGATTCAGCACTGTTGGGCGATTGGCAATAATCGCTACATTTATATCTGTAACAGAGTGCTGTCAAGTAAACCTTCTACCAATGCAATGATACGGACAACAACAGCCGTCACTGGGTTTAATGCAGGAATAAAGGTGAGTCAAGACAAATATTATTGGAAACCATATGGTAAGGATTATAAATTCATTTGATGATGTTGTGTGATGATACATAATTCCTATGATAAGTGATGATAAGTGTGGGATGATTATTGATGATTATGATGATGGTGATGATAAATGATGGTAATGACCACATTTTCTGGTGTTGGTGATGGCAATGATGATACATGTTAGAGATGATGGTGATGATGGTGACGATGATGATGAAGATGGTAATCATGAGATGCCTGATATATGATGGTGATGATGATGATGATGATACATGATAGTGTAATGATGATGGTACATGATGGTGATGATGATAATAAATGATGTTGTTAATCATGAGATCCCTGATGATACTTTTTGTTTATGATACATATAATTAACGATGATGCTGATCGGTGACGAACATCTGGTTATAATTCCTTCTCAATTACAATGAAAGATAAGTTACAGACAGTTGCTCACAAATCTTAATTATAGGAAAATGTCATTGCGCCTTCTGCCAAAGCAATCGTCAATCACYGAATACACCCAATGAACACATTAGATGAGGTATGAGCTATTTAAAATGTTTAATATTTATTTATCAAACACCATTGAACCTCAAGAGCCAATCAGAATACAGGTAACATGATGTATATTTGGTGGTATTCCACTGTTCCTTCTCATCAGACATTGCAGTCCTGGTATATTTTCAATGGTGTGGGGAAAATAGTTTTACGGTGCTTTCTGATCATAACTTGTCATGCTTTTATCATCATGCTTCAGGTGGTTGAACATGACAGGTACTGCATCAACGACAAGAGAGTTAATATACGACTTGCCAGACATACTCTTCCATCACCAGTGTCGCCATGGGACAAAAGTGCTTTTGGATACCAGGTAATTTCAAAAACTAACCAACTCAAGTCTACGTGACTGGACCGAAAGGAACTCTGGGTAGCAATCATTGAAGCCGAGTTGACTCCATAATTTTATCTGACTAGTTATGCCTTGTTTACAGCACGAACCTTCGTAGGCGAGCGGGAAATGTTGAAGGAAACGTTTTTTAAATGCCTTCATACTTTCAGAATTGTGAACTGAATCATAACTACTTTGTTTTTCTTTCCCTAAACCCGAAGACATGCATTTTATGGATTGTTTCTCGCCATTATCATCTTATTTCTAGTGGGAACAATTAATTCAGCATGAATATTTAACCGCTTCAGTGATTTTTACCCATATTCCTTTCGGTCCAGTCGCGTAGGCTTGAGCTGGTCGACGACAACGTTTTTTGAATTGACTGTAAGAGTGGTTTATTGCAAGCAAGCTAGAAATATTTTAAAGGGGTATTGTCTTAACTTATCTTCTATTCTTATTTTTTTCAACTCAAAAGGAGTGGTCATTGCCACCAAATCCACCCCCTGGATCCACCCTTGATAAGGAAGTGGGATTTTTGCATGTTGATGATCAAATTGGTTCAATCATGATTCATCCTGTCAATTTCCATTTCTCAGGTTGTATCTGAGAGTATACGTCAGGTATTCCCAGAAGCTACTGTAGCACCTGGTCTAATGATTGCTGGTACAGACACCACACACTACTTGGACTTGACCAAATCAGTTTATAGGTTTCTACCATCACTACTAGGCCCAGAAGACTTGAAAAGATTCCATGGTTTTAATGAACGAATATCGGTGAAAAACTATGAACAAACTATCAATTATTTTTATCATTTAATGGTGAATGCAGATAAAACACCTCAAGAACAAAGACCAAAAGTAGAACTATAATTAAGGTATTTTTTAAAATTTTCAATGTTTCATGTAATAAAGGATATAATTTAGCCATTCTGAGGTTGAGGAACTTACTGGACCAAGTTGGCATTTACAGTGTTCCTTATACTCACTGGTTGAATGAATCCTTTCTTTGAAGTCCTGACACACAATAGGTTTTAGTGGACGCCAATCAAAGCATTTCTATGGCATTCCCAAAAGCATGTGCCCTTGGAAAGCTTGTTTTCCAACATCATGAGAACACTTTAATTGATGTGCACTAAAACCTACTTTGTTGCAACTATAATTCCACATTTGCAAACAAAGCTTCTTCTAGGAATATGAACACTCAAATACTCAAATTTTAAGATATAATCCTGACAAAGGAGCAATACAGAATGAATAACACAATGACTATATTCAACACAATTAAATTTTTTTAAGGACTTTAATATATGAATGCACTAAAACGAAAATAAAAAAATTTCAATTTTATTGACAAGTAATCCATGTAAGCTTTCATAATTCAAGATTGTCAAATGCGTAACTAAACTCCCATGTTAGTGGCCTATCATAGGATCATCACTATAATCAAGCTAGTGTGACCACACTTTAAGCGGCTGCAATGGAGATTGTGTAACCTACTACGATAGGTTTGACTCCTTGTTCTCAACCTACAAAAATGTTTGCTTGACTCTGAAATGATAATTAATGGGAAGCAAGCCAGGCAGGCCAGAGCCGGAGAGTATGATTGCATGGTTGTCAATTTGTGTTGGATCTACAAAGTACCAAAAAGCACCAGAGAGAGCCCTATGAAACCAAGGGTAGTTCGCATATGGAGAAGGCAATGGTTACACCTGCGATGTGCTGAGAAGCACCGGAGATAGACCCCCTCTGGAAACAAGGTCAGATTGGACATGGCATATGCAATGTTCTAAGGTGTGCTCCGCTATGGTGTCACCTCCCACCAATGTGACCCAGGTTTGATTCCTAGGCTCAGTGTCATTGAAAGGTTTGTTGTTACATAATGAGTCCAACTACCACAGGTTTCATGTAGCAGGTCAACTTAATGCAACTATTTTTCTAGGCTCCAGTTTTAGTACCAATTGACATGTGAAGGCCAGAGATACAGGTAAAGAGCCAAAAGTATTGATTGTAAAGTCCATGATGTACATGAAATGAGACACAATAGACCCTTTCACAGTTCGCTGCACCATCTTGAAAGGTAGCTGTGCCTTTGCATCAAAGAGAGACAAATGGTGCAATAATAGAGACCTTTTTTAACACCTTGAACAATTATGCATGTCTCTATCATTGCAAGCTCACCATTTGTCTCGCTCTGATGCAAAGGCACAGTTACCTTTCTAGATGCCGCAGGGAACTGTTAAGGGAACTATTACTACCAAAGATTAATACTTTCCTCTCTTGCAAAGTATGCCTTTTTTAAGACAAATATTGGTAAATAATGATAGTATCAAATTTCAAATGTAAAAACAATTTTTTTATTAAGATTTTATAATTGTTAAATATTACATAATGGGCTTCGGAAGCTATGAAAAGATATTAAATTTTGAAATTAAGAATCCTGTATTTTGTTCTTGATATTGTTTGCACTCCACCAAATGAGGAGAGCTGCAACAACGGCAAGGAATTCTGTCTGCACCCACAATCCTTCTCTGCCAGCACCCTAGGAAAATAAAAAATTCAAAACATTTGATACCGATAATAAAATTTAAATCTGCTGTCATAATTACTTGTATCTTACGACTCCTTAGAGTGCATACCATATATTTATATATGCAAAATTTTGTAAGAAATTGCACAAATTTGCTCAAATTAGTAAGATGAGTAGACTGATGAACAGTGTAACAATGACACACAAGTATACAATGTACTCACTTTGTGGTTGATGTCAAGGGTAAACAGAGGCTTAATTTCAGTAGATTCACCACTTCGTTGGGCCTATATAGAAAAAAAAAGCAATGCTACTTTAGGAATATCAACACACAACATACTGCTGCACCAGTACACCTAGAAAGCCTGATGTTGTCAGATTATATTATAAAATAATAATCAGCGTTAATTCATTGGATTGACAGATTATAAGGTATTCATCATCCAACACAGGCTTTGATTGTAAGATCATAAAATACATGTAATATCTGTACATTTTTACCTTTCTGTAGTTAGAGTATCCCTCCTCATCCATAAAATTGATCTTGTAAGTACCAGATGGTGCTTTCTTATGTGCCACGGACCAGCTCACCTGTCAACAAGTAAAAGAACATCAATATTTCTGAATTTAAAGCAGTTTCCAATGCAGTTGGCCACCTTTTCACTGCTGCCAACCAAAATAATCAGTCAGAACCTACAATTACATTTTTCAGCTTGCTTCGGCAGTACCACATTTGAAAAATAGTGAAATTTGCTGTTTGACTAAACTTTAGGATACATGCTAATTAAGATTATTCTTAAATATGCTGCACCCATATTAATGTGTAAACAGGTAACAGTTTTGTGTTGTATGGCATTCTGGTCAGAACTTCTTAGAGGTGTAGATCTAATCACACAGTATCATTGTAGCGATTGTAGTTCATCATTCCAGATCCATCATTAGTCCAAATATTTTAATTTCTTATAGTACTTTTAGTGTTACGTAGGAATAACCTTACATCAAAGGAAGAGAGCTAACAAACTCTAGTGATATTTGATGCAGGGATTGTCCAGGAGAATGTCTAGAAAAAGTCCATTAGTTTGAACCGAGGGGAGAGGCAAGTGCACTCTCACTATGCCACCATTGATTTTTACCATAATAAATTCAAAGCTAAAACTTTTATTTCATGTTATCTTATCCAATGTGTTCTTATCGGACATGGTTGTAGCATCGGTGCTGTACCTGGTATTTGGTGTCATCGGCAGATCTTGTTACTGGCATGACGTTACCATTAACTTCAGCATACAAATGTACATCCTATGAAATAAATAAAAAAAGCCTTACAGTTATTACAATAATTGTTTAGAAAAGATAACACTTTAGTGTTTAAGACTTGGGTGAATTCCAGTCCAGCTTTGTGATAAAGTACTATGTAAGGTATGGTACAGATGTGAGAAATATGAATATTTTGACCAAAACTAGACTTTTATACAAAAAATTTTGTTTTCTTGAAAGCATTGTTTTTCCCCCGGGATCAAGTGATGGTCAGAACTTCTTAGAGGATATGTTATAATCAACAAACATCATTGTAGTGATTACTGTTCATCATTCCATCCTATAATGACCACATACATTCAAAAATAGTGGGAAACGATGACGAAGGCTCCGTATGATGCTATACAATACCTTGGCATTGTTTTCACAGGTCAGTGAGAATTCTGTTAGAAAAACTGTCTCAGTTGACATAAATATATTTCCTGATGTGTAAATATCTGGAGTGGCTTTCATAAATAGTGGGAAACAATGATCAATGCTCTAAGTGATGCTATACGATACCTTGGCATTGTTTTCACACGTCAGTGAGAATTCTGTTAGAAAGACTGTCTCAGTTGACATAAATATATTTCCTGATGTGTAAATATCTGGAGTGGCTTTCATAAATAGTGGGAAACAATGATCAATGCTCTAAATGATGCTATACAATACCTTGGCATTGTTTTCACACGTCAGTGAGAATTCTGTTAGAAAAACTGTCTCAGTTGACATAAATATATTTCCTGAAGTGTAAATATCTGGAGTGGCTTTGGGTCTTACACAGGTTTCACCTACAAAGAAAAAATATCTGATTTTAAAAACAATACCTTCAAACTGTATTCTAATAATAATATTATCATGTAAATATAGACCTTTTTAATGCTCGCAGCATTTCCTAACTGCTGTATTGTTGAACAGAGCACAGAAAAAAGCTGAGCACAGAAATTATAGCTGATGTAAATGTCATGATTTTCTTTAAAAATATGGTTGTGCATGTATGCATGAAAATTGCACTGTGCTCTCTATTCTGAGGCAACACAGTTTGAATCAATCAGAATGCATATAGCAAGTAGACTATTGATGGTTTTCAACCATTCCCAAGAGAATTAGATAACAAAAGACACGCCAGCCATGTTGGAGGATATATATAACAAAAGAATTTATTGACAATTCTTTTGTTAAGTTTCTCCAACATGGCCACCGGGAAAACCATCAATTGAAAGAAAGTTTTTATATCAACCCTTTTAAAATGTCAATTTGAATAAGAGCTTAATATTTTAACCATCTGAATATCTTTTAGAATCAGATTTTACAACTATAAGTAAACTCTAAAAACGAGCTCCCCATTATTGAAAGAGTTCTCAAATAGAGCCCACTATTGCTATTGCTACACGTCTAGCAGTTACTTGAACTGTGGATCAAAGCACTGTGAAAGGTATGGTAGCATGCTTGAAGACTTGAAATCTTTTATTCCATGATTACAGTTGTATCTTTATTATTATTATTCGAGTCTGTTATTGGCTACCCTGGTTCCAGAGGAGCTTAGTTTCGCCTTTCTCCCCCAGCCACAAAGCGCCTCTGGAACCAGGGCAGTTTTTGGCCTGTGAAAAGCTGTTAAAAGTAGTGAACATCTTCACAACAGGGTGAGACTTGTATTACAGTAAAGATGACAAGACAATTTTGGGACTGTGCAACTAGCTGTCAGCTTAATAAAGGGTATCCGCTTTATAAAGGGGTCCTTACAACAGTACTGTATAAATTAAAAGCTTGATATATGCAAAATACATTCACGAATATGTACGCTGTTTTGAGTTCTTTTTTTGCTTTGGAGATACTATCTATTTTGGATTAGTTTGAGGTGTATCGAGAGTATACTTGCTCTGAATTAAGAATTAAGAATTTTTTTTGGAATTAGCCAGTAAAAACGTGTCTCGTCATCAAAGAAAGAAGGACCGAATCAAATTCTTTTAAGGTAAAAAAAAAGAGGAATATTTAAAAACACGTGCGAGTTTACTTAACTACAATGAATCATATGTTGTATTCGAATGATTAAGCCTGGTAATAGGTCTTACCTAGCACCAAAAGAGGGATAAAAAGCCCAATAATGAACACAAAGAAGTTCTTTGCCGCCATCTTGCTTCCACGCCGCTCGAAGAGAACGAGACCACGTGACAAGGCCTTTTTATACCCACGCGCCAGCTGTTGTTATGTGCAGCGGTTAATACGATGAAAACATGAGCTGCGTTACAATTGAACAGCGGATAACTTCTTTAAAGTAAAATATGAAGGTGAAACGCGTCAAAGGGGCGAAGAAAATTATCAATTTTTACAAGAATTCCTTTGGGATCTTCGAACCTTATCAAGTCCTTAGTAAGTATAGCTGTCAGGGAATGCTCTGTTTGATTTTTGCTACGATTTATAGTATTTTAAGGATATTTTTGAGGGATTGTTTTTGGGTGTTGCTTTGGCATGTCAAAGCGTGTCGTCCGTCGCTTCCTGCTTTCTAAGATTTTTTCTTTTGAATATTTGAATTTTTTATCTTACCATCATTTTTTCCTTTTCAGTCGATTTGACATTTTGTCAAGCTGCTATCCTTGGTAAAGTACTTCTCAAGGAACAAATACCAAAATACTTTGATGCTAAAGTTCAGTTGGGTATCCTTTGTAAACGAAAACTGTGGCACCCTGGAGCGTAGTTGGAGAATATTAAGGTGTCTCGTGCATAGACCCCTTGCAGTACGTGGGAATGAAAACAATAGTTTCCCATTCTCAGGAGATTGGAATTCTTTTGTTTTGTTCCCCAGATAAAGCTGCTTTGACGTCACATGCAAGGGGTCTATTAGGGTATTGTTATTGCCAGTGTCTTCCTAAAGTGTCGGTGGCAGTGCTGACAAAAATTCAGAAAGACCCAGAGGATTTGGGGATAAGATTGTCATTAGAAAAAAATCAGCATTGTTTATAAAGAGTAATAATTGAAAGTAATTCAAAGGATAAATTCATGATTCTATTTTAACATCTCTAGTTGATTAGGGATGGGACAGCCATTAACATGGTCATCTGATCCAAATGAAGGCTTAATCATTTGTACAGGTGGCATAGCAGGGACAGCTCTCGCATCTCACCCGGGAGACCAGGGTTCGAGTCCTGCCAGGCTCAGTGTTATATGTGAGTAGAGTTGTTTGTTGGTATCTCTCCTGTGTTTTGAGAGTTTTAAATTCTAACTCTATCTATCGGTAGTCTTATCAAGTGGGTTGCAAAACCTGTTGGCTTTCTGTCCACCATGGAGTGGCAAATACAATTAGAATTTTTAGTTTCAAATTTGCAAATGCAATTACAAAGACAGCACTATCTCCTCAATTATTTTACAACCTGTGTTGGTCTGGCTTGAAACACCACCTCTGGAAAACAGACCAACACTCTTATGAACTGAGCTGAATTAGCTGCACTGTAACATTGAATCAATGTTTAAACCATGTTTTAATTCAAAAAACTTTGTCCTTGAAAATTGAACTTTGTGCTTGAAAAGTGCTTATAAAGTCCTTGAATTTTGTAACGAAAATGTAGCACGAAGCCTGTAAAAACTATGCTTAAGAGATGATCACTTATTTCCTTAACTGTAAATATAACTACAGTTACAACAAACTGTATCATAGAGGAGGGTAAAGCTCTTGGTCCCTCACTCAATGGTGCTGTGTCAATCGCCAAGAAATTTCAAGTCAGGCTATGTGGACATAAGAAAAGTCCGGTTCCCGCAGCAGAATGCATTAAGAGCATTATAGGTAATACTTGTACCTCAGTGTTGTTATATATATTTTACAGCGCAATGCACAAAAGTATGTATTCAAATACTTCTAAGCACTGGTTCTTACATTAAACTGACACATTTTGAGCGAAACTGGTTGGTTTTTACATAAATAAATGTCTCAGGCGCAGGCATTACAGACATTCTCAATCACACGCACCGCTCTAAGGATTGTGTCTATGGTCACCGGCACCACTCTAGGGATTCTGTCTGTCACAACGAAGAAGCTTTTAATGGGCATCAATCAAGGCATTTCCATGACAGTCTATAGGCACGTGCCCTTATAGCTTTGTGTTTTCCGACAATGTTATGGAAATGCCTTGTGATTGACGTCCACTAAAACCTTCTTCGTTACGACAGAAACAATGGCTAGAGGGCATGTGTGATTGAGAATGGATGTAAAACAAGGCATTTTTGGGCAATATGATAAGAAACCATTGGAAACCATAGAGTTATAGGCCATTTCTAAAACCCTTGAAAAAAATATTTTGTCTGAAATTAGCTATATTTTTTCAAAAGTTTATGTCCTGCTCCACAACTAATACAAACTTCAAAGTATTCTTTTGTAACATAATTTAGTCTTGCCTGAAAATGCCTTGTTTTCTAATCTGAGCATGTGATACTCTTGACATTGCTCGCGCATCTCAAAAAAATCTATTTGCAGTGAGCGGATTTAGAAAAGCTCAGAGAAGTTAAAAATACTAATATATAACCTTATTTTCAACAGGGCCTTCAAACACCAACAGATATTTCGTAGCAACACAGGACAGAGAGCTTCAAACACATTTGGAATCTATTCCAGGTTAGTTCTATTTTCCAACAAAAATCAAAGAAAGATTTTGTAACATACAGTATATTTACCAGCAGAAAAAGACAGTCTTTGGAGCCGAATTTAAGATTAAGTTAGAAGACTCTATCTTTCACTTTTCTAGACATGACAGTTATACCAGCATAAGTCTGCTTTTCTTTTGACTTTAGACAAGTTTTTTTTCAATCACACATTATCTTTCCTTAGGTGTACCATTAATGTATTTAAATCACAACTGCATGGTATTAGAAAAACCTACGCCACTATCATATGACACTGCACAACAGGTATGTAGCCAGAAAGGGAGGTCAGGGTGGTTATGATATGATGCATCATGGTCTAGCTTGGGTACGCACAAAAACACGGAAGGCATAGTGGATAAAATATGTTCAAGAAAGTGCAAACCATATATCTGTGAAATAGCACAAAAACTAAATAGCACTAAACACATCTATTTGTTTTGTTTTCAATTATTTAATTGATGCTATTTTCTACTAATTAGTTAGTACTATTTCATGGGGATATATGGTTCGCACTCTATCAAAATCATTGTCAAAAATGAAGTCTAGCAACGGAAGTTTTGTCACAAAGTTTTGTCAGTTAAGTGTGCATGTTAGGGGCATCCTCAAAAGTATTTCCAGCGCAATGTGCAAAAGTATGACCAAGGATAATGTTTTTGCATACTTCTTTGCACAGGCTTTTGCACATTAAACCCACACATTTATGTAAAGGTGGCTGGTTTAACCAAATAAGGCCTGTACAAGCTCGTTTGCCAGCAAAAAGTCAGTGTGTAGAAGTATGCAAATGCATTAAAATTATGCACTCATACATCAAAGGCAATACTGCGTGGGTACAATTATGATTATCAGTGAGGTTGCCACTAACAACATGCACACTTTGCGGAAAAAAGCGTCGTGCCAAACTCAACTTAAAAGCATAGCAATAACTATCATAACCTGTTCAGATTCAGGATTCAAAAGTCAACCCAACTTCACTTGAAAAGGAAACTATAGCAAAATTGAAAGGGGAACCAGAAAGTGAAGAGAAAAGAAGAAGAAAACGGAAAAAGCCAAGTGGCCCAAACCCTTTGTCCATCTTAAAGAAGAAACGAACAGCCGATAAAACTATGTCACAAACTGTAAAGGTGGGTGATAAATAGACTATTTTACATTAACTTACAAATTTCTTGTGTGCTGATTGATTATTTTTTATCATCAATAAGAGGACAGACAAATAAGAATGACGTCAACGAGCACACACTTTTTCTGTTAGTTGTTTCAATAAGTAAAAATGAGAAGTTTTTATCGTTTTTGTTATCGTAAAAAGCAAATTGACAATAAATTTCCTCATCACATGGATCCACACTTAGCCTAGTGGATCTGCATACTACTTTGACAATGTGATGATGAAATTCATCGTCAATAAGACAACAGACACATTAAAAACTGATGTCAATTTGTTAGTTTTTTAACCCGTACGATACCTCTGTGTTTCTTGATTACAGACTCATTCACTCAGGGTTAGCCTCATTTGAGCATCAGAATATTCATAAATACCAATGGTAAAGTAAAGAATGCTCAACTTCTACAATACAAACACTTTGAGATTCTACAGTCCTTTGCTGGAAAATGTGAATATTCTACCCAAAATCAAGACTAACCCTGAGCAACAGAGAATTTAAAACTGGAGTATTCTGAATAAAGTTCCATTGAAAAGAAAAACAGATGGGCTGGGGGAGCTTTAGCCTTTCTTCTTTCTGCTAAGATTAAACCCTGGGCAGATATGAGTCAGGGCACGGCTAACTAACAAATTAGTCAGGGCATGGCTGACTCACAGATTGAACCCTGAAACAACCTCTGGGCTGATCAAATTCAGGGCATGGCTTACTCACAGATTGAACTCTGAAACAGCTTCTGGACTAATCAAAGTCAGGACTAGCTATCTCAGTTTCCAATTTCTTTTCAGAAAAAACGTATCCGAAAACGGAAAAAAGCCAAAGTACCGACACATGTCCTTCAAGCACTAACAAAAGAAAGCTAACACAAGGAATATCTGGTCAGTTTGATGTAGTTATATATTGAAACTGTAAGGAACTGTTCATTTTTACGGGCATGGGGGACTGGTGGGATTTTGTGAATTGAATATATAAATGTGGCCCCTATTAAAACAAATAAAATTTGAAATAAATTTTCTATTTTAGCCAGGTATTTTTTGGTTTCCCCCTTAATGTTTTTTATGTGCCCCCAACTCCCCCCGCCCCCAATCCCACCAGCCCTTCCCCACCCCTCCCCCCCATGCCTGTAGAAAAATGAACGTTACCTAATGTAATCATTAATACTATACGATCATATAGATCCTTATTCAATTACTTCAAGCTTTCAGACTGATCAAGGGCTTTTATTTCCATTTTTTTAAATCTGTGAACCTCTAAGAATTAAGATTTCTGAGCTATAGTCATATATTTTCTAAATCGTTGATGACCAGAAAGAAATAATATACAATTCAAACGGGAAGTACTAAGTTTAGACAGCACGATAGACATTTATCTACAAAAACTTAAAAAGTTTTCTAACGTGGAAAAACATATTCATTGGATATTTTGTAAGCAATTTCTCAAACTCAAATTTTCATACATTTGCGAATACTTTCCGGTAAAATTCCCTTTCTTGCTAACAAAGAAAATAACATATTAATTCCCTTTGTTTATAAAGTCAGGTCTATTTTAGATTGATACCAAGTTCTATTTTTGAGACCAACCTCGAAACTTTCTAAAAATAATCATGATTCGTTAGCATTATTTTTGTCAAGGCATCGCTCTCCCCAGGAAAACCATTATCATCCCATTGTGGGACGACAGTGGGATAGACTTATCAGCATGAACTAAAGTGAAAGCAAATTCAAAGTTTCTTCTATTTGTAGGAATTACCTTAGCTAGTTATGACTCATAGTATTTTACCGAATTTAAACGATAGAATATTTCCATACTTTCTAAGATACGTAGTTTCCAATTATAATATTTTCTGTTGTCGTTACATTTGCAGGATAAAAGTTTCTAATGTTTAGAATTCAGTTTGAGTATTTGGCAAAGTTAGGCGATAGGACTGTTATTCATCCTGTTATGATCAAAATAAAGCTTCTCTCCTACTATGTCATCATGACTAATGATTAATCGTTATTATCGTAGGGATAAGACAATCCGCTTTGACTTCCTCATCAAAACAGTCGTTTACAAAGTTAAATTTCATTTCGGAGACACTGAACGAGTTTGTCTGAGTTTATAAGTTATAATAAATTGAAGAATCCACAAAAAAAATTTTTTAGAAGAAAAAGCTTTTAAAACAAAAGCAATGTCGCAAATAATTTTTTACTTTTGTTTACAAAAGTCAAGGTCTGCTTCGTAAGTACACACCAAGCTCTCAAAAGTTATCTGTGACAATAAAAAAGCAAACAAATTAGTCATTTATTTGAACTTTGGTCTCTCCTGGGTCTTCGAAATAAGGATTTCTAACAACTAGAGTTACCTCATGCAGAGTTAAGCTTTCTTAAATGTGCTATGAATTAAAATAGGATTTGATCACGACTGGAGAGATGTCCACGCGACCGTAAGGCTGATTAATTGATTCGCACGCGAACTCCTTGTCAATCAGTTCAACCGAGAAAATTCCATATATTATACTACTTATTAACCTTATATCTTCTAAATAAATATGCTTTATGAATTCAAAATCCTTCTATCGGTTTTGAAGAATATTTGGAAATTGGGTTTCAAAAGACAAAAGAGCTGTGTTGTGAACCTGGAAACGAAAAGGAATTAACTCTGAACTACTTGAAATTGCTTCCACTTGAAAAAGTGTGTTAATTTTATTTCAGTTTTTAAGTACGTTTTCTCGAGGTTTTAGTATATCGTGTTCCATATTCACGATAAATAAGCTTGTGCGATTTCGTTTTCTTTGTTCGTTGGTTGTATTCCATAATAACGGGGAATAGAAGTTTGTCGATAAGAAAAGAATTAACTCCGGTAACCACAGGTTAATCGGGCATTGAAGTTCGCTAACAGCGTTTGCTCGCAAAACCTCGTCTCCCGCAGAGTTTAACAGACATCGAATGAACAGCACAATCAGTGCACTGTTTAGACTGTCCCAATGTTTGCCTCGATCTGCCTCAAAGATACTAAGCCAAGATTGTGGTTTCAACTTCACAGAACTCGTACTTTACTTTCCGCCTTGCATGTTTGTCTGTTGACCTTCGCTTCTCAGCACTCCTAGCGCTTATACTGAGAAAAATTCAGATAAGAACTTAATCAGGTTTTTGTATTTTCGTTTTTAAAGATCTTTTCAATATTGTTATTTAAAACCATGCTTTCAACTTTTGATCCCCTGTGTGAAAACATTGTCTAAAAGACCAACAGAAATGAAAACGTAAAAAGAAAAAACGAAATGAAATGAAAAATAAGCAAGAAAAATTTTCACATTTTCTACTTAATATTTTTTTCTATCTAGTAGAAAATTTATTTTTTTCAGTTCATTATCTTCACCTATCCTTTTCCATTTCAAAGAATTCTAGTTATCACTTTATTTTTGTACTATCTCCGATTCGTCTATTCTCATTGTAGTTCTAGACCAGTGTTTCGTTGTACATTATTCCTAATTGCTGAAGATGGTCGATACAAGGGTAGTTTTTTTTATTTATAGATACACTTGCTTATAATGAAAACATCTTTTTGACGATTGTTTCAAAATGTTGTAGCACCTTTTTTACCGACACCATTTATATTCTTTCTATTTTCCTTTCTTTCTTAATTCCTTGCTTGCTTGCTTGCTTGCTTGCTTGCTTGCTTGCTTGCTTGCTTGCTTGCTTGCTTGCTTGCTTGCTTGCTTGCTTGCTTGCTT